CCCTGGTGGTCCTTATTCCCTCCCCCTCCTTACTCACACCCCCCCCTCCTGTCTATGTAGCGTGGCCGGGCAACGTGGAACACGGGACAGGAACCTCTGTTTCCTGTACCCGGCCGCCGGCGGTCTGAAGGGAAGTGCTCACTCACATCAACCCTGTTACATATCTTAGTATCATCACAAAAAAAAATACATACCTTACCATCAAGACCTTCTGCAATATCACTAATAAAAATATTAAAGAGAATGGGTCCAAGTACAGATCCCTTAGGTACCCCACTGGTGACAAGCCCATGCTTCGAATATACTCCATTGACTACAACCCTCTGTTGCCTGTCACTCAACCACTGCCTTATCCATTTAACAATATTGGAATCCAAACTCAAAGATTGCAGTTCATTGATAAGCCTTCTATATGCAACAGTGTCAAAAGCCGTACTGAAATCTAAGTAAGCAATGACTACTGCACAACCCTGATCTATTATTTCACTTACCCAATCAAAAAATAATAAGATTAGTTTGGCATGATCTCCCTGAAGTAAACCCATGTTGTCTCTGATCTTAAAATCCTTGTGATTTTAGATGTTCCACAATCCAATCCTTTAACATGGTTTCCATTACTTTCCCCCACTACTGAAGTAAGGCTTACAGGCCTATAGTTGCCCGACTCCTCCATACTACCTTTCTTGTGGATGGGCACAACATTCGCTAACTTCCAATCTTCTGGGACTCCTGTTAATAATGATTGGTTAAATAAATTGGTTAATGGTTTTGCTAGTACACCACTAAGCTCTTTTAATAACTTTGGGTGTATTCCACCTGGCCCCATCGAGTTATTTGTCTTTACTTTTGACAGTTGAAATATAACCTCTTCCTCTAAACTCACATGTAATATGACTCATTTGTCCTTTTTCCTCACTGAGGTCCCTTAGTTCATTTTCATCTGTAAATATTGAACAAAAATATTAATTGAGGCAGTCAGCTAGACCTTTATCCTCTTCTTCATACCTTCCTTCTTTTCTTTTAATCTAACTAATCATTGTTTTACTTTCCTTTTCTCATTTATGTATCTAAAAAATGTTTTATCCTCTTTTTTTACTGATTGGGCTATTTTATCTTCTGTGTGTGATTTCTGAAGCTCTTATAACTTGCTTAACCTCTTTCTGCCTAATCTTACAGATCTGCCTATCTTCCTCATCTGGGTTTTTTTTTTTATAATTACTAAATACTAACTTTTAGTTTACTATTTTGGCCATATCTGTGGAGTACCACAGTGGTTTCTTGAATTTTTGCTTTTACTTACAAGCCTAAGGCAATTTTTTTTTGCCTTCAGCAGTGCAACTTTTAAATAATCCCATTTCTCTTGGACTCCATTTAAATTGGTCCAGTCTGATAATGAGTCCTTTACACATATTCTAATTTTAGAAAATACTTTTTCTAAAGTCTAAAACTTGTTTGTGTGGTGTGACTCAGTTACTGTAACAGACAAGAGAGGTACTTGCCTACTGGTATTTGTTTAATTAAAACATAACATTTAATATATTGATTAAAAGTATTCCTGTTGGTAAATCAACAGGTAAACTAGCGCATTTATTGATAAGACTATCAATAATATAAACCCAAAAATATAAAGAAAAAAACCTATATCAAATTATCCTGTGTATTGCTGAAATTGCTGGGTGAGCCCAAGTATTAAAGGATCACTATAGTGTCAGGAAAACAAAGCGGTTTTCCTGACACTATAGTGCCTCGAGGGTGCTCCCACCCACAGGGTCCCCCCTCCCGTGGCGCTGAAGGGGTTAAAATCCCTTCAGCAGCTTACCTTAATCCAGCGCTGGGTTCCCTCGACACTGATGACCTCTCCTCCCCCGCCGACGTCAGCTCCCTCTGCCGACGTCAGCTCCCTCTGCCGACGTCAGCGGTGCCTATTGCGCATGCGCGGCAAGTGCCACGCGTGCATACAAAGTGTCCATAGGAAAGCATTTCTCAATGCTTTCCTATGGACGCTCTGCGCGATGGATGCATAATATGCCTCCAGCGTCGCAGATGCGCCTCTATTAGTATCGCTATGCTAAGGTTATAGACTCTAAGAAGGAACTCAGTCTGTACAGGGAGTGCAGAATTATTAGGCAAGTTGTATTTTTGAGGATTAATTTTATTATTGAACAACAACCATGTTCTC